CAACTGCTACTCGGATGGTAATAGGAAACATCTTGGTACTTCAGTCGTGGACAACTTACAATCCTTTTTCCTTTCCAGGTCTTCATGTACACTTAGTCTTAGGGGGTCAATTACTGTGGTTTTAGGGAGTCTTTTCCCTTTTCTTTGTTTTATTGTCTCTTTTTGTCCACCGGGTAGGAACCTGCACGTGCCAATCATGCCAGAAGAAACAGAGAGAGGCTGCCAAACTTGGCGGGGCATGCCTCCCTCACTCAGAATTCTCTGAGGTCACATCAGCGAGGTGTTAGATCCAAGTCACGGCACCAATTGTGAAAAACACCATTAATTTGTGTTAAAATTTTAGAATTTTTATAGTAATGAAATAATAATGAAAATAGTAATAAAAAATTAGGACAAAAAGAGACCATAAAAAGCAAAGAATTATGGACATCCAGGTGCCTTGCACTCTGCCACAAAGCACACCTTGCTAACAAAGGATTACCCCTTAAAAGCAGTAGCCTATTACATATTCATATATCTCATACATGATTCAAACATTCCTTTCAAACTAGGGTGTTTCTGCTTAATTTCAGCTTCCCCCCGTCATCTTGTAAACCAGTCTTCTTCAGATCCTCAAAGCTTTCCTGATAAGGAGGCAATGATTCTTTTCTTGGGATCTTGGTGTCTTGTTACTGTTATCTCTATACAGAAAGGATAATGTGAAGAATTTCTTGATTATCTTTTCCATTCCTTGCACTAGTTACAAAAAGTATCTTACACCACATAGTTTCTATTTTAATATTATGGTATAGCCTAAAAACTATATTGACCACACTTCTTAAAATAAATTAATACAGCATTACTTAAAAGAGATTAATACAGCATAACTTTCCAACATAACACATATAGTATTCATTTTAACATTTGCGAAGAGCCAGTCATATAATATGCATTTTTCACAGACTCCATGATTCACAGATGGCTGATCAATAATTCTTTATTAAGAAACCCATTGCTCTTTTATAGATAGTTACGATACAGGTGGACCTAATTGGTCCTCCAGTCCAAACACCATCACCATTGGCTAATTTAGAAACCACAGTTTGGTAAACAAACCTCCATAACATATTCCACATGTTCACAATACCAGGTGCAGCAAGTTAAGAATTGTTTCTCATTCTTTTCTCTGATCTTCTCACAGCCTTTCCCAGGACGATGCCTGGGAATGTTGTGTTTCTCTCTGTGGTCAGAGAGCTGCTGCCACAAGGGTTGACCCACAAGTAATAACTGTAGTGGGTTGATCTTGTCTGGCTGCTAGGTGCCTACCAAACTGCTCACTTACTCCCCTCTCCTCAGCAGGACAGGGGAAGAAAAGATGAAAAAGCTCATGGGTCAAGATAAAGACAGGAAGGTCACTCACCAATTACCATCATGGGCAAAACAGACTCGACTTGGGAAATATGACTTTAATTATTGCCAATTTAAAAAAAAGAAACAAAACCCAAAAATAAAACCACCTTTCCCCCACCCTCCCCTTTCTTTCTAGGCACAGCTTCACTCTTGCCGTTTCTTCCTCCTTGTCATGGTTTACACATAGATAGAAATTAAGCCCCGCATAGGCCCTCTCCTACCCTCACTCCCTTGAGAGACATAAAAGGTGGAGATTCTGAGTTTAGATAAGAACAATTTAAGGAAACAGCAACAAGATAAGAAAACAAACAGTAACAGCTACAATACTAATAACAGTGTATGAAAGGGTGATTACATGCAAAAATGCTCACTGAGTCTGACCCAAAGCGACATGACCGAAACCAGAGCCACCCCACAGCTCCATTCGCCACTTGCTCTGCAGGAAAAAGGAACAAAATGGCAACAACCCCCGCATGTGGCACCTTGCTGTGTCTCCCCCTCGAATCCACGGGAACAAATCCCCAGTGGACCCCAGCCAGCTGGGCAGTGGGGTGAGGCGGGCAGAGGGAAGGAACTTCTCCTTGAATCCCAGGCGGCTTGGAGAAGCTCCCACGTGAGTCCAAAGACGAGCTGGTCCCACAAGCAAAGGAAAGAGGCGCTCCCCCTCAGGATTAGTTCCAAAGTTTAATGAGGGCCTGCAGGGATCCCAGGCCACATCTGACCTTGAAGGGCATCCAGAGCAAGAGAGAGTGTCCCTGCCCAGCGCAGCCAGATATAGGGGGGCGGGGAAACCTGAGCAGACAATGGGGGAAGGACATGGGAGTGGCTCTCTGGGGGCAAGGCCTCAGAGTGACCACTGAGGAGGGGGTGGGGGAGGAGTCCCAGTCAGGATCCAGTTACCTGGTGACCCTGCCAGAAGGGTCTGGACAAAGGGGAAGGGTCACCAGGTGATGGACACATCACCTGGGAGGAGACAGGGGGATGGGTTGGGGTTTGATGGACATACAGGTACTGATGGGAAATCTGGGATGAACCAAACAGATACAAAGAGGGGATATGGAGGGACAAACCATGAGGGGATATACAGTGCAAACACAACTCTACAGCACCTTTTTCTTCCACCCAAAGCCACACCCCCCCCCCCCCCTTCCCTTTCTGGAAGTGAGTCCCTTACTTCCACCCCGCAGCGATGATGTGAATGGTATAGAATAACAACCTAGACACAGCCACACAGCTCTAGGATCCGCACCCTCTTGGCTGCTACCTCCCACTGGGGAATAGGCTAGAGAGTGAGTAAGATGTTTGGAGGGGACACTGTAAAGAAATAAAGAAAACTAGTAGCTTAGTGTAACTTAGCATTAGTAACTAGATGTGCTGAAGCCTCAGGCTGTGAGCTGTGAATTTACACCAAGATACACTGAACTTTTACCTACTTAAGTAAAAGGAGGCTGCAGAGCCAGTTTGAGCCAGAAGATAAGGAAGCGAGGAAGGCGACTACCCCTGTCAGCATAAGATGCAGCCTTAGAGGTAAGAGAAGAAATGGGTTCACCTAGACAATGAAGAGACCCAATGAAGAACAAGACTACCTCATACCATAATATTACTATTGGACCGAACTGTCATGCGAGGGGTGGGAAACTTGGATTGTAAGGGTATAACTGCCCAAGGATTTCTTTGTTCAAGGTCCCTCTCCTGAGGCACCCAGCTCAAGCTGTATCTCAACACTGTACCAAATAACCTAATTTGCTAGATTTGGCGTGAGACTCTGCTTGGGGAAACCTAGGGTAAAACCAAAAGGGAAAATGTCTCTGTGAGTGTGTGTGTCTGGAGTCAACACAGGGTACCCATTGGTTCAGTGGAGCCATTCATCATGAATGGACTGTAAAGTCCTAGTGTTTGAAGTCTCAGGTGGTATGAATGTAACTCCTTGACTGAGTGTGAGATGACACAAATTTCCCTAACAGACACAGATGGGACAGCTGACCTGAACTGGCCAAACGGATATTCCATTTCTTCATCTTTCTCAAACCCTGAGTTCTCTAGCTTTTGCTCATCCTATTTTCTCCATGCCTTCTTTTTTGGTGGGGGTGGGAGTGGGATGGCATCTGAGCAAGTAGCTGTGTGGTGCCTAAGCTGCTGGTGAGGGGTAAACTACAACATTACTTTCACACACTGTTTTAAGAAATATGTAATGGTGTCAATTTTTAAAATATATATACTGTATTGGTTTTGCACAGCCTAGTTTTTGCTACCGGGGGGGCCACAGAGAGATGGGTCCTGTGAGAAGCTGCTGGAATCTTCCACCATGTCCAGCAGAGACAATCCCTGATGGCTCTAAAGATGGACATGCTGCTCGCCCCACCTGGGCCAATTATAGATGGTGATAATGTCTCTGGGATAACACATTTAAGAAGAAAATCAAAACAAAGTACACACAGTTTTTCTTCTAGCCAGAGAAGAGGAGGAGTTGAAAACATGTGAGGGAAACAACATGGCCATGCCAAGGTAAGTGAAGAAAGAAGGGGAGGAGGTGCTCCAGGCACTGGAGCTGAGATTCCTCTGATGGACATAGTGATGACCATGCTGAAGCAGGCTGTCCTCCTGTAGCCCATGGAGGTCCACAAGGGATGCAGAGATCCACCTGCAGCCTATGGGGGAGGTGCCCATGCTGGAGCAGGTGGATGCCTGGGGGAGGCTGTGATCCAGTAGGAGACCCAGTGGAGAGAGGGGGCCCTTGCTTCCAGGCTGGAGCAGCCTGTCCTTGGAGGAATGCACCCCATGCAAAGAGAGATCCATGTTGCAGCAGTTTTGGGAGTACTATGTGCCCATGGGGGGAATTCATGTTGCAGCAGGTGCAGTAGGACTGCTGCTTGTGAGAGTGGACCCATGCCAGAGAAGTTCACAGAGAACTGTCTCCCATGGGAGGGCCCCCATGGCCTCACAGGGGAAGGACTCCTCTCCTAGAGCAATGGAAAAAAATCTTGGTGGTGAACTGACCAAAACTCGCATGTCCTGTCTCTCTGTGCTATTGGAGGGAAGGAGGGAAGGGCTGGGAGGAAAAATGTGTTTTAAGGGCTTGTTTTACTTTTCATTATCCTCCTCAGATTCTGTTAGTAATAAATTCACTTTCAACCTTTAGTTGAGCCTGTTTTGCCCTTGAATTTTTTTCTCCCGTTCCTTTTCTCACTCATGATCTGTCTTTAAATTTATTTTCCCCCTTCTTCACTGCCCAGCTGTAGCAGAAGACAATGAATGAGTGACTCTCATGGCTGCCTTGCATTGGGCCAATATCAAACCAAAACATATACCTAAATGCAAATTTACCTACAGTCAGTTTTATCTATGCATGGTATATTCAGTAAATAAATAGTCAACCTTATCTGTTATCCAAATTTCATTTTTACAGTGTTCTATTACTTGAACACAAAGTTAGTTTCTATGGACAGTATATTGGCAGCTTGAGTATTCTAAAAACTTAATTTTCAAGTTTAAAAATAACATTCATGGTAGCCTTACATTACACACAAACCCAACCAATATATGTTATAAAATGGTGCAATGGATGCATGCATGTCTGATAGAGTGATAATAAATTTACCAAATTCTAGTTGTTCACTTTTGTAAACATTTTATAAAAGCATTGCGATTTATTTGGATGGATACACAATCCTTGATGGAAGAATTATTTAGACTGAATCTGTGGCACATTAAGACTAAAGCTGACAACATCCATTCTGCATATTCTTTTGACATGATTCCAGCAAGAGAAACAGCACGGTATAAAAAGTATACAGGAAATACTGTTCTTACCATAACCATCAAAATCTGGAAATTGTAAATACATGCTTAAGTGATTGAAAAAGTCAAAATCATAATAATTGAAACCACTCAGAAATTACAGTAAGAAATGTTATGCAGTTACATGTAGCTGTCAAAACAATGCATATCTTTCCTTGTCAATTGGTAATTCTTTTCCAACAAGACAAAAAAACTTTGGCATTTGCAGGCTGTCCTGGTTTAGGGCAAATTTGGGAGAAAACCTGCAAAGGGGTTCCTCTAGAAAGCAAATTCAAGTGGCTCCTCCCTCAACTGGTTCAGGAAAAGATTTCCTTGGAGAAAAGTGGAAAAAACTCTTTATTTGACAAGCAAAGCATTCACCAGCACAAAAAAAAAAAAAAAATTAACAATATTAAACAATAAAACCTCTTGCTGCTCCGAAGAGATTACAAACTCAGAAAGTCCCCTTCGTGGGCTGTAGCTCGGCTCAGTCAGTCTGTTATCAGTCCCTCCAGCGCTGGAAATGCTGCAGCCTAGGCCAGGCCCCTGGGGGCCACAGGTGTGAGCTGCCGGTGCTCTTCTGGGTGTTCAGTCCAGAGAAGGTTTAAACAGTTCCAAGAAAAAGAAAAACTACAGTCTAGGGAACTTCTCTGCCTCAGCTAGCTAAAAACTAAAAAGCAAAGGAGAGCTCTGTCCCACTGTCTGTCCCTCTGCAGACAACACAGTCCAGGAGCAGGAATGTGGAGGAGTGAGTGCAGTTTCTGAAAACTGCGCGCTTCTTCTCTCCCTTCCCCCTTCTCTCTCAGAACAAATCTTAAAGGTGCAAAACGTATTTCTGGGCTAAACAGACCAATGGAGATACAAGCATCATAAAGTCACCCCAGGACACAGGTGTTCAAAATAATTTTCAAAGCTCACAACAGTCACAGCATTTTCTTTGCAAAAGGTAAACTGTACACCAAGGCTCAGAGGCTGTAAAAACTGGTTCCAAGTGGAAAAAAGTGCAAATATCCTGCACATATAGCTTAAAGAGCTGCTGGTTCAAACATCTGCTAACAGAACCTTTGTTTTCTTTTTTGCATAGTTCACACATCACTGGGAATGTGACAGGGTGTGCGATTTTTGGCAAGAGCAAAAAAAGTGATACCTGTGTAAGTTGCCATGTTAGACATGCTGGATCCATGCAGAATTCAGGTAGAAGGCTGCTACCTGATGTTATTAGACAGTGAATATTGATGTTGTTTTTGTTGAAGCAGTTCTGTTATAGCCAACAGCTTCTTAAGAACATGCTGTAGAAAAAAATAAATAAAAAAAAACAAAAAAAAAAAACCCAGTACAACCCTACATTAGCAACTAGAAAAAACCAACACCCATCTTGCTTGAGAAGCATCTTCAACATTAACCTACCAGACTTAGAATTAGGTAGTTTAAAATATATTTAAATCCACAGCCCCCACAGCCCCTCTCCCCAGCTCCAGTTTCACAGTCACTAAGACATAACTTCAAAAGGCAACTGTAAAACAGCAATATGCAATTTATCTGCAGCCATGGAAACTCATGAAGTCTTGCCAACTTAACCTGAGAGTTTGAAAATGAAACAGTTCTATCTGTTAAAAACAGTCTGTAAACCAAAAACCTATTCTTGGGTATTTTCCCCATGTGAAAATGCAGAACTGGGCCGAGAACATGAAAAGAAACTCTGGTGGAAAAAACCAAAAAAGGTGATAATACAATTCACTTCTGCACAAGCAGAAGCACCCTCTAACTCTAACTTTCTGAAAACCTAGGCATTAAACTTGAACAAATGCAGCTGAAAATACATAACAGACTGAGAAATAGTATTGCTAATGCACTGTCAGGAGTTCAATAATTTTTTCATTATAGTAGAACTGTGTTCAACTACAACAGATTGATGATGAACATTAGGGCACTTATAGGTGAAAAAAATATTTAAGAGGGTTTTTTATGGAAACCCATGAGGAGAAATTACTCTTCTGAAGTAGAAATATAAGTGCATTGAGAAAACGGTGTTGTATTTATGACCTTTAAGTGCTACACATGCAGGCCTTGTGAAAGAAATTCTCTCCCTTATCTGTAAGCAATGCATATTTAATACTGAAAACTTCTACTATCCTGACTTGCTAGTCTAGCCATCATCTTTGCTTTGTCAAGACTAGAATTAGCTGTGAATTATGAACTTGAACATGATTGATTTTTTCCTCTCATATGCCCCTGAAGAAGCAAATTGTAGTAATTAAACTAGATTAGTTTTTAATTGCTATAATGTAGCATTATTTAATTTCTAATTCCTTGATCTTTCTTCTCTCAAAGCTAATTGAATACAAATATATTTTTACCATTCACAAAATTGCGATAAGTGTTCCCAGTAATACCCTTATTTAAAAAAACCATTACTGCCAAAAAATACATTATTTGTGTAACATCTGCTGAGATTAAATATAGATTTATCATCTATTTGGGTTTAAATTAAGGCCTTGAAAGAGTCAGGATATAAGAAGCTCAGTCTTCAAACCATGACAATAATAAGAAATTTGATTACAAGAAGTAATTTTGAAGCAATTAAATTAAGAACTATTTTTAAAACTGCCTCTTCAACAGGAGTAATTAAATGGTTTGAGCTGATACAGATTAAATTTAAGGAAGACCATCTCTAAACCAAAAGGCTTTCCATAGTACAACTACCCCTGTTCCCATATCATTAGCATTAAAAAGGGAAGAGTACTTAAATTCTCTCCTGCACAGCACAGTATACTAGTCAAGCATACCAAAACATATTACTGTGCAATAAGTAGGATTGGCAACTTGAAGTTCATCATAATTAGTAGACCATAGGCAAGTACATTACTTTTTGAGACAATGCATGAAGTCATGCAGATTTTTTTCCTCTTAAAAATAAGTTTGCATAAAAGCTGTACACAAGTTTATTTGGAACAGAACACTCATTTATAGCATTTACTAGAGAAGTTTGCCATGATTGTTTACAAACATAATAAATTAGGAAGCAGAAATGATGTAGTGCTAGAAAGCTAAGGAAAGTAAATTTAGCTGTTTAGTTCTCAATTAGATGAGCTAGATCCTAAAGCATGAGACTGTCAGGAGACAGTAATTTATTGAGTTTAGGCTTCCTTCCTCTGGAAACTAAAAACTTCACCAGGAAACTAAAGAAAAAAAGCCCACAAAAAACCAAAACAACAAAAACAAAAACAAACCAAAAAACCCCACCCCAAACTTATGAATAATCTCTTTCCCTGGTGGCTGAGCTTAGGGAGGAAGTTGAAAGACTAAGGAGTATTAGGGAAACTGAAAGGGAAATAGATTGGTGGAGTTCTGCCCTTCCACCCTTGAGGGAGGCCCACCAGGAGTCAGAGGACTCCCATGCCTCTCATTGTCAGGCAATAGGAGGACACCTGGTGGATGAAGGGGAGTGGAAATGGGTTATTACCTCAGGGAGGTAATAAAAATTCCTCTCAACCCCCATCACCTACCCAGGTGCCCCTTCAGAATAGGTATGAGGCCCTGGATCTAGAGGGTCAGCCAGATGACGTAGAAGAAAATTATCTGCCCAGTAATCCTCCCAGTTATGCTTCATCTGTCAGAAGGATCACCACCTCTAACATTAAAAAGAAGGGTAGGCGTAGTGGGTGACTCCCTTCCAACGGGAACAGAGGGCCCCATATGTTGACTGGACGCATCCCACAGGGAGGTCTGCTGCCTCCCTGGGGCCCAGGTACGGGATATTACCGAGAGACTCCCTGAGCTGATTCAGCCCTCTGATTATTACTCACTGCTGATACTCCAGACTAGCAGTGATGAGACTGAAAAGAAGAGCACCAGGGCAATTAAAAGGGACTTTAGGTCACTGGGTCAAGTAGTTGATAGGGCAGGAGGACAAGTATTCTGCTCAGTCCCTTTGGTGGCAGAGAAAAACATTGAAAGGAATAGGAGAACCCACATTATCAACAAGTGGCTCAAGGGTTGGTGTCATAGGCAGAATTTTGGGTTCTTTAATTATGGGGCAACTTTTATGGCACCTGGCCTGCTGAAACTGGATGGCCTCAATCTCTCTGTTAAGGACAGAAGGATTGTAGCTCATGAACTGGCAGAACTCATTGAGATGGCTTTAAACTAGGTTTGAAGGGGGAAGGGGATGCAGATAGGCTGTCTAGAAGTAGGCCCAAGGGTGGTAAACCTAAGTTAGTGGTGAAATCAGTAGCCCAGCTGAGGTGCATGTCTACTAATGCACACAATATGGGTAACAAACAAGAAGAGCTGGAAACCATGGTACAACAGCAAAGCTATGATGTAGTCGCCATCATGGAAATGTGGTGGGATGATTCACATAGCTGGAGCTCTGCACTGTATGGCTACAAGCTCTTCAGAAGAGATAGGAAAGGGAGAAGAAGTGGAGGGGTGGCCCTTTATATCAGGGAGGCTTTTGATGCCATGGGTATTGAAACTAATTACTATTGAGACAGAGTGAAAATTTAACAAGGTAGAAATACATTTGGATTTAGGTGAAATGTGTCACGTTGAGCTTGCTAACGTAAGTGAAATATGCTGTTTAGTCTAGTAACTGGAGCACTAGGAAAGTTGCCCCAGCTAAAGAGAAAGAATGCAAATTTCCACACTAAGAAGATAAGAAATAAGAAAGACTCCTCAAGCCTTGAAACAGATAACACAGAGTGACCCAGGAGTTTTTTCTGTACTTTCTGACAAAAACTGAGTACAAGTGTAACTAGCTATAAGTGTAATGCAAAAACAGCAGAATGAATATGCATGAACCTATTGTAAAATTCTATGCATATAAAAATTAGTTAAAGATAGTAGAAAAGGATCGGGATTTCTAAGGGGTGCACATACCTTTTAAAGAAAAATTCCTGCATGCGCCGCTGTAATAAAAACATACCGCCCCTACAAATCTGTATTAAAATTATGAAGTTTTAATTTTCATCCACGTTTCATTCTGAAGTTGAATGCCTATGGGTAAGAATTAAGGGGAAGGCCAACAAGGCTGACATCCCACTGGGAGTCTGTTATCATCCACCCAACCAGGAAGAAGAGGTAGACAACTTATTCTATAAGCAGCTGGAGAATGTTTCAGGATCACCAGCCCTTGTTCTTGTAAGCGACTTTAACCTATAAGACATCTTCTGGGAACTTAATACAGCAGAAAAGAGGCAGTCCAGGAAGTTCTTACAGTGTGTGGAGGACAATTTTTGTCATAGCTGGTGAGTGAACCTTCCAGGGGAGGGAGTATGTTAGACCTGTTCTTTGCAAATAGAGATGGGCTGGTGGGAGATGTGGTGGTTGAAGGCTGTTTGGGGCATAGTAATAATGAAATAATAGAGTTCTCAATATTTGGTGAAATCAGGAGGAGCATCAATAAGACTTTTACATTGGACTTCTGGAGGGCAGACTTTGGCCTATTTAGGAGACTTATTCAGAGAGTTCCTTGGGAAGCAGCCCTTAAAAGCAAAGGAGTCCAGGAAAGGTGGGCATGCTTCAAAACAGAGATCTTGAGGGCACAGGAACAGACTGTCCCTGTGTGCCGAAAGATGAGTCGACAAGGCAAATGTCCAGCCTGGATGGGCAATGAGGTTTTGAAGGAACTTAGGAATAAAAAGAGGATATATCATTTTTGGGAGGAGGGTCAGGTCTCTCAGGAAGTATTTAAAGGGGTTGCTAGGGCATGTAGGAAAAAAAATAGGGAGGCCAAAGCTCAGTTCGAACCTTCTTTGGCAACTTCTGTAAAGGATAATAAAAAACGTTTTTACAAATATGTGTAATGGCAAAAGGAAGGGCAAGACCAACCTTTGTTGTTTACTGAACGTGGGAGGGAACTGAGTAACTGCAGATGAGGAGAAGGCGGAAGTGCTTAACACCTTCTTTGCCTCCGTCTTTTGTGGGAAGATACTTGTCCTCAGGACAACTGTCCTTCTGGGTTGGTAGATGTTGTCAGGGAGCAGAATGGTCCACCTGTTGTAGCAATGTATCTGAACAACTTAGGCCTCAGTGTGCACCAGCCATACCATCTGTAACTGTTCTTATTAGAATTTTTTCAGGGTACTGTGGAGTTCATCAAGGTTACTAAGACATAAACAGTGCTAAAATAAGAATGAAGAAGCTGAGAAACCACATACCAGGATCACCAGAACTAGATAACAGAGGACTGTAGAATACCTGCACGGTAACCAATCATGGATGCTGAGAAATGGAGGCAGAGAACAAATGAACAAGACAAAGGCACCAATCAAGAAGTGTGATCTTAGTAGTTAGTAGAATCTATAAAACTGTGTGTAATGTAAACAATAAACGGCTTCTGCTTGATCATATTGGTCAGTTGTTCAGGAGTCCTGGATATTTATAAATCAATGGGACCAGATGGGATCCATCCTAGGGTAATGAGGGAGCTGGCAGATGAATTTGCAAAGCCGGTCTCCATCATTTACCAACAGTCCTGGCTCACTGGTTAGGTTCCAGATGACTGGAAGCTGACAATGTGATGCCCATTCACAAAAAGGGTAGGAAGGAGGATCCTGGTAATTATAGGCCAGTTAGCCTGGCCTCAGTACCTGGTAAGGTAATGGAACAGTTTATATTGAGTGTCATCACACAGCACTTAGAGGATGGCCAGGGTATCAGACCCAGCCAGCAGGAGGGGTAGGTCGTGTTTGACCAACCTGGTCTCTTTTTATGACCAGGTGACCTGCCCGGTGGATGTGGGAAAGGCCATAGATGTTGTCTATTTAGATTTCAGCAAGGCCTTTGACACTGTCTCCCACAGCATACTCCTGGAAAAGCTGGCAGCCCACGGCCTGAACAGGAGCACTCTTTGCTGGGTTAAGAACTGGCTGGATGTCTGGGCCCAGAGCGTGGTGGTGAACTGTGCTGTATCCAGCTGGTGGCAAATCACTAGTGGTGTTCCTCAGGGATCTGTGCTGGGGCCAGTTCTGTTCAATATTTTTATTGATGACATGGATGAGGGGATTGAGTCTTTCATTAGTAAATTTGCACACGACTCTAAGCTGGGAGTGTGTGTCGATCTGTTGGAGGGTAAGAGGGCTCTGCAGAGAGACCTGGAATGGTTGGATGGATGGATGGATGGATGACGTTTAATAAGTTCAAGTGCCGAGTCCTGCATTTTGGCCACAATAACCCCCTGCAACACTATAGGCTGGGGACGGTGTGGCTGGACAGTGCTCAGGCAGAAAGGGACCTGGATGTACTGGTCAACAGCCGACTGAACATGAGCCAGCAGTGTGCCCTGGTGGCCAAAGAAGGCCAACAGCATCCTGGCCTGTATCAGGAATAGTGTGGCCAGCAGGACTAGGGAAGTCATTCTTCCCCTACATTTGGAACTGGTGAGGCTGCACCTTGAATACTGTGTCCAGTTCTGGGCCTCTCAGTTTAGGAAGAATGTTGAGATGCTTGAGCGTGTCCAGAGGAGGGCAACAAAGGCTGGTGAGGGGCTTGGAACACAAGCCCTGTGAGGAATGACTGAGGGAGCTGGGGTTGTTTAGCCTGGAGAAAAGGAGACTCAGAGGTGACCTTTGTCACGGCTGCAGCTGGTCTGTAGCTGTTAAGATAAATTTGGCCATAACAGACCCCCAAACTCAACCAGCCTAGACGTAAACAAGTCCCTGGGTAAGCAAAGATAGGATGGATTTGAACCCAAGCAGGGAACCCCAGCCAATCCCATTCAACCCTGAATGCAGATACATCACTGGCCAGAGAGCTGGGCGATGCTGAAACCCCAACCAATGAGTTGTCTAAGCCTGGAAATTTTGAACCCCCTATATAAGGGGGCAGCCATAATAAATCTCTGTTGTTTGTCTCATGATCATTGGAGAGTTCTGTCTTTTCTGTCTCCAACCAACGACCCAACGTAATAGACCTGATCACTCTTTACAAATTCCTGAAAGGTGGTTGTAGTCAGGTGGGGGTTGGTCTCTTTCTCCAGGCAGCAACTGACAGAATAAGAGGACACAGTCTCAAGCTGCGCCAAGGGAACTATAGATTGGATATTAGGAAAAAGTTTTTTATGGAAAGAGTGATAATGTACTGGAATTGTCTGCCTGGGGAGAGGGTGGAGTCACCATTCTGGGATATGTTTAAGAAAAGACTGGATGTGGCACTCGGTGCCATGGTTTAGTTGAGGTGTTAGGGCATGTGTTGGACTTGATGATCTTGAAGGTCTCTTCCAACCTAGTGATTCTGTGAATAAAAAACCCACTAAAACAAACAACACAAACCCTCAAAAATCCCAGAAGAGGAAAACCAAAACAAAATAGCAAAAAAACTAACCAAAAAATCTCCAACCCACTGCTTTAAAACATCTTTGGATTTGTTGTATAAATACTTAGTTCATATTTTTGAGCTTCTTTACCTTTACAACTAGCAACATCCTGGTTAAATGTACATATTTATCACTCATACTGCCGGAGAGAAAAAATTACAAAGGAATCACAATGTTAAACAATAACTTTAGTTAGACATGCTATCTCTATGTATGATTTTTGTTAATCATTATAGTTTACCTGCATTACACCTCGCTCATTGCTAAGTGTCCGAAGTTCATCTGAATGAGCCACACACATCTCATGCAAGGCTGCCAGATAACGAGATAAGTCAGTTCTAGAGTAATCTGTAGTGTCTGGAAGCTCAGGAACATTCTTTAACAAAAATTATGAGAACAGACTTAGAATGGTGAATAGCCAGTCATAAAAGAAATTAAATAACAGTTCCCCACAGCTGCCAACAGTTGTTTTGATACTGCAAGCAAGTACCATGTTTTTCTTCACAATTAAGTTTTCTGTCCATGTTATGTAATATAAATTATTTATTTCCTCCTCTCCACAATCATCTATTTTATTAAGACAAATTATGGTTACACATTTCACACAGAGAGATCACTGAATATACAGCAATTCCTATTCCTAATAGGAAGGTTTGATACTGCTATGCTGTCTCTGAGCTGCCTAGAAAGATACTGAGAAATAGAGATTCATATCATATCTTCCCCCCAAATGAGGGGGGTCCATCCATTATATGTTTGTTGTTTTATTTGGTTTTTTAAAAATTCAAATCAGGCAATAACAACAGCAAAAATTGACACAAAAAAATCCCCAAACTATCAAGTCAGTAAATCCACTAAGAAAATAATGTAATTAAACCAGTAGATGAATCAGTTATTTTAAAACCCAACAATTTTCCAAGTCCTCATGTATAATCTACCATTTAAGGAAAAACAATAGTGCATCATAATATGCAAAAGTTGCCATTTAACCATAAAAAAGTGGCATATAGCAATCTATCTGAATGACACACTTCAAAGCAGTAATTCTTATAGATTATCAAAATAGTCTGAGATGTTTTATAGGTCACTTTTAATGGATTAATTCAGGAATAATAAGATAGACACATTTCTTTCATATTTTTTCAACAAATTATTGATTTAAACATAAACATATATACATACATGAGCTCCTAACTCATTATAACTATCATACACAAAATAGTAATGGTTTCAAATTGAACTGAAACTATTACTTTCTTTTAAACTACAATATCCAGAATTCGTTCAGAGAGACATTTGGTTATGTATATGTAAAATAGAACACAATATTTTAAAAAACTTCAATTTTACCAATCTCAGGTAAAATCATATGACAAATTACACATAAGATTTTCTTTATTTTAAAATATTTTTTAGAAGGTTGGTATTTTTGTCTGAAAGCCCTAATCCTTGGGGAGAAGCTTAAATAGATCTCATGTCTACAACAGTACTTTCTAACAGGACATTTGATTGGTTTTAATTCTGTGCAACAGGCCAGCAATCTGCAGCTCCTAAACATGCACAAGAAAAATATTTCAGTGACAAGCATTGAAAATTGTGAGGAAGCTGATGCATTTTTGACCTAGTTAACAAGGACTATAAAGAATTTTAACTCACAATGTTGCTTTACAACTTGCAATTTCTCTTTTTAAACCACTTACCCCAAGTTCATCTAAAAACATGATCATGCGATGTTTGTTACTCTTGATGAATGGATTTACCCCCTCCATATATGGCTCCTGGTAATTTAAAAAATTATTTATTAGAACAAATTGATACTGATTTAACAGTCATACCTGAACATATTGCAATCAGAGACAAATGACACTGTAAAACAAATGTGTCATCTTTTTCAAGTGAATTTATGACTGGTGTACAACCAGTCAAAAGATTACACTTTTTTCTGCACCAGATGGATTCTGAAATTGTTTATATATGCACTGTGACATGAAATATTACATTTCTGAAATAATGAAAATAGACTTTTTTCCTTGCAGCTATAAAATGACGAAAAACTTTCAGAGGTAACAACATCAGCAGCATCAACATTAGGACATATTTGCCCTCCTTTTTGTTCTTTCATTAATGCGTATATTCCAAGTTGTGAGTGTCAGACAAATGGCACTATAATGGCATCCTGAAATTTCTTTCTTTCATTATGCTCAAGTCAACAGATTTTTATTGTTCAACCATGTTGTGACTTGGGAACCAGAACAGGCCAATTGTTGCTGGCATTGTTTTAGTGATGCAATAGAAAGTTTAGTAAAAGTTGAGGCTTTTAAACGAAACTTGTAAAACTCATTTACAAAATTATGTCAAGCAGTATGAAAACAAGTACAAATAAAAGGGGTGTTTCAAAATGCTGTATCAACAGAAAAGACCAGTCTAAAAAATAACTAAAGAAAAAGCGTGTGTGTATGTGTGAGCCAGAGGTTAGTAGTTGTTAATATGTTTCCAAATACTCTATATCCAGGCTGGAAGTTTAGTCCTAATTGGTCTCGATTTAAAAGTGTATTATTACAGAATTCACAGAATGACAAGGTTAGAAGAGACCTTAAAGATCATCTAGTCCAATCCATGGCCTAACACCTCAACTAAATCATGGCATTGAGTGCCCTATCCAGTCTTTTCTTAAACACATCTAGGGATGGTGATTCCACTACCTCTCCAGGCAGACTATTCAAGGACTTTATCACCCTTTCTGTAAAAAACTTTTTCCTAATATCCAACCTATATTTCCCTTGATGCAGCTAGAGACTGTGACCTCTTGTTCTGTCAGTTGCTGCCTGGTGAAAGAGACCAACCCCCACCTGACTACAACCACCTTTCAGGAAGTTGTAGAGAGTGATAGGGTCACCTCTGAGTCTCCTTTTCTCCAGGCTAAACAACCCCAGCTCCCTCAGTTGTTCCTCACAGGGCTTGTGTTCTAAGCCCCTCACCAACCTAGTTGCCCTCCTCTGGACACGCTCAAGCATCTCAATGTCCTTCCTAAACTGAGGGGCCCAGAACTGGACACAGCACTCAAGGTGCAGCCTCATGAGTGCCAAGTATAGGGGAAGGATGACTTCCCTAGTCCTGCTGGCCACACTATTCCTGATACAGGCCAGGATGCTGTTGGCCTTCTTTGGCCACCAGGGCACACTGCTGGCTCATGTTCAGTCGGCTGTTGACCAGTACATCCAGGTCCCTTTCTGCCTGAGCACTGTCCAGCCACACTGTCCCCAGCCTATAGTGTTGCAGGGGGTTATTGTGGCCAAAATGCAGGACTCGGCACTTGAACTTATTAAACGTCATCCATCCATCCATCCATCCAACCATTCCAGGTCTCTCTGCAGAGCCCTCTTACCCTCCAACAGATCGACACACACTCCCAGCTTAGAGTCGTGTGCAAATTTACTAATGAAAGACTGAATCCCCTCATCCACGTCATCAATAAAGATATAAAATAGAACTGGTCCCAGCACAGACCCCTGAGGGACACCACTAGTGACTGGCCACCAGCTGGATGCAGCACTGTTCACCACCACTCTCTGGGCCCGGCCATATAGTATATAAAAGAATGTGGATGTGGAATGTATTTCAAGGTTCTGTACAGAGACATATCAATATTACTGAAAGATGTCTCCCCATTTTGACATGAAATAATAAATGGAAATGAAAAAAGACTCCCATCATCTACTTCAGGCAAATGATTCATACTTCTTGAATAGAGTCTTTGTAATCATAGCTTTCTACTCTAGCATTTCTCAGTTGTCTTTTTGATGTGGATATTCGTAAAGAAAATTTACTCATTTTACCATCACATAGATGTTTTCTTTGTGGAGGGATGGCTGCCTGCCTCTCCTCTCCCACTTTTCCAACTTTTCCAACACCCATCTTTTTGACTAGGGGAAGTCAGTAGACATGGTGGTTTTGGATTTTAGCAAAGCTTTTGATAATGTCTCTCACAGTGCCTTTCTGAATAAAATGTCCAGAACACACCTAGAAAAGTCCATAATACATTAGATGAGCAATTAGCTAATGGGCCAGGCTCAAAGGATCATAGTAAATGGGGTTATTGTGAAATCAGGCTGGCAGCCAGTCATCAGTGAGGTTCCCCAGGGCTCAATTTTAGGGACAGTGGTCTTTAATGTTTTTATAAATGATCTGGACATAGGAATCAAGCATACATTAAGTTTGCTGATGATAAAGTAGGAGGAGTTGTGGACTTCGTCAAAGGTAGAGAGACCGTACAGAGTGATCTGGATAGACTAGAGAGCTGAGCAATCACCAAGCATATGAAATTGAACAAGGGCAGGTGCTGGATTCTGCACCTGGGATGGGGTAATCTTTGCTATACATACAAATTAGGAGACAAAAGGTTGGAAAGCAGTCCCACAGAAAGGGACCTGGGGTCCTGGTTGATGGCTAGTTGAATATAAATCAGCAGTGCCCTGGAAACCAGGAGGGCCAACTGTGTCCTGGGGTGCATCAGGCAGAGCATCACCAGCTGGTCAAGGGAGGTGATTGTCCTGCTCTGGTGTCATAGTTTGATAGGGAAGTGAATTTTCTGAGGAAGTTGGGGTCAAACCAATCAGTGTCACGTTTGTATACTGTCGCTTGGAGTGACCACTGAAGGCATTGGACATGCCTCTGAGAACACAGGGGGTTAAAAGCAGAGAACTCCCAGGGGAACTCTCTCTTTGGTTCCGGTCAGTGAAGAGGGCAGACCTCCCCTGCCAGGCCCCAGGCTGGGTGGGGAAGCCATGTGGCCTAGGAGAGGTAGGCCCAGGGTGTGAAGGGACTGGAACCGGGTCGGCCCCTGCGGATGGAAGGGTGGAGAAAATCGGAGATGTCTTCGTTCCCTCTCCTCCCCCCCCCCCCCCCCCCCGCCCCGAGGGAGAGAGAGTGAAAAAGTAAAGGGGGGGGGGGGGGGGGGGAAGAAGGTGCCCAGCTGTGGGAGTTGGAGTTCTGGGAGCCAAGATTTCAGCTGTCCTGGGAGTCTGAGACTTTTAACCCCTTCTTGGACAATGAAAGCTTTGTGAAACATTAATCCTTCTTGATCTGAAAGAGAAGAGAGACAGCCTGGGACCTGAGATGTTCGAAGAAGATGGGGAAAGAATCTTAGGTGGAAGGAGATGATGGAGTGGCCTTGGCTGGACTTTTCTTGTATAGCCATTGACTGAACCAATTTATCCTGCAACAGAGACTGCATTTTTAGGAGGATGCAGAGGTTGGAGTCAAGAGAGTGACCTGCTGCAGTGATGCCAGGAGAGTGACAGGAATGGAATGAACAGAGAAAAGTTGAGGAGGGTGTGGTGGTGCCCTCTGTCTTCAGGAAGAAGAAGATTTCTGTTCTCACAACCCTCGGCCCCAGGGGAGGAGAAAACGGGGGGGACTGTTGTCCCAAAAATGAGAAACTGTTGTTCTTTGGTCCTTGACAAAGCATCCTTAAAGGAACCCTATGAGTAGTCTTGGTCCATGAACAGTGGTGAGAGCACTGTGACATGGAAAGGAGGGTGTCACAATGGCAGATTTTCTCCGGGTGGTGCCATGTGTGGCATGGAAACACAAAGAGGTCACAACTGTGTTTCCTGGGGGATCTATGGTGCAAGAGAGACTCCTCTCTCCCCTGATGGACTGAGTATTGATTATCTGAGGGGTGGTAACTTGATTGAGGGTCCAAGTTGTATATCACTGTGTTTTGTTGGAAATTGGGTGGAGGGAGGAGGAATGTTTTGGAGCGTTTTCATTCTGGATTCAGCGTGTGATTTTATTATAGTAGTAGGTTAATAAAGTATTTTTTCCCTTTGTTTTTAAGCTTGAGCCTGCTCTGCTCTGTTCCTGATAACATCTCACAGCACTCATTTGGGGAGGATGTAATTTCATGGGGACACTGACATTGCGCCAGTGTCAAACCATGACATCTGGTATGGTCTCACCTCAAGTACTATGTGCAGTTTTGGGTGCGTCAATATAAAAAGGAAATCAAACTATTAGAGTATGTCCAGAGGAGGGTAACCAAGACATTGAAAGACCTTGAGTGCAAGAGCAGCTGAGGTCACTTGGTTTGTTAAGCTTAGAAAAGGCTGAGGGGTGAGCTCATCATAGTCTACAGCTTCCTCAAGGGGGGCAGTGAGATGCTGATCTCTTCTCTCTGGTGACTACCAATAGGACATGAGAAAATGGAATGAAGCTGCATCACAGGTAGTTCAGACTGGACTTTAGGAAAAGATTCTTAACTGAGAGGGTGGTCAGTCACTGGTACAGCCTCCCCAAGGAAGCAGTCATAGCAGCAAGCCTATCACTTCAAGGACAATATGGGTGATATCCTTAGTCATGTGATTTACTTTTAGGTAGTCCTGCAGGGAGCATGGAGTTGGACTTGATGATCATTATGGATCCCTTCCACCTTGAGAGATTCTATGATTCTATGAATACTAGAGTATGACTACTACCCTTTTTGACATCGACAGACAGAAAAAAAGAGTTCACATACTTCCACTATTGTATTTGAAATCAATGTCTGAGTTTATCTGATATCATAGCATAAAAATATGGTTACATCACTCTATAATGCCTACTAGCATGGCCATTCATTTATCAGTTATTTTAACATGTCCCTGCTGTTGTTCATACTTCCAGATTGAAAATCATTATGGTAAGTACCAAATCATTCACATAAGTTTCTAGATGACTCATTCTGAAATTATTGACTCTTCTTTCCAAATCAGCCATATTTATGATACTGCTCTAGGTTAAATCAATACCCTGTTGAGCTCCAACTAAAGAGGATAGAAAAAAATTGCAGGAATAAAGCCTCCTTGCTGATAAGACACCCAGGTCACACATCAAGATTTGCATAAGAATAATACAGACAAAATCTGTTTCTGTTAACATGAACACGGCAATCTTCTAGACTGTTCTGTGTAAAATTATATTCACCTTAGCTCCAAATTCAACCAGATTTGCTAAGTTCTGCACAGACTTGGCAACCAGCGTCAACGTTCTTGCAGCAGTAGGGGAAGGAGAATCTGATAGGAATAGAAAGTAGAAAGTTACTGACCATTTAATTTAAAACCTCCAGTAGTCAAAAGAAAATTCTCTTTCACAATTTGTTATAATGTAATTCAATACTTTAAATGCTGTAAGAGAACTGCATGTGAAAAATCTCTCATGATCAAGTAAACTTTTGGTGTTTTAGTAACTATGTCCACAATAAACATCAATATGCATATCTGTCTTAATTTATGACAATTTATAGGACAGAGACTCCAAAGTGAGTTACCTACCCTCAGTTTTAACCACTCTGCTTTCATCAATAAGGAGAGCCAAGTGGAAGAAGATATAAGTGAAAAAATAACAGTTTACTAAAAATAAAACAGCAACAATGAAGATAACAACAATAACCACTAGATACAAAGGTGCTGAGTCACATGCTCCTCCCGGGAACAGAGAAGCCTCCTCCTCCTAAGATGGTGGCCACCGTGGCAGCCCATTGGCCCAGGGGACAAAGACAAGATGGCAGAGAAGCCACCTACTGCAGACCACACAGCTGAGAGAGAGAACAAAGGAAAACAACACAGCAACCAAGCGTCTGCAGTTCCAGAACACTCCTTCTCCCCAAAACAACAACCAGCAGGGAACAGGGACAAAACTAAACCCAGAAAAAATTATTTTTGTCCAAAAGGCTTTGATGTTGCCAAAATACTGAAAGAAAAATTCCCAACATCTGCAGGTCCAATCCCTCCTCAGCATGGTGCATCTTGGAGAGCAGGTCCAACCCCTCTGTGGCACAGGGCAGGCAGCAGCAGTGAAGGTACTGTGAAATTCTCCAAAGCCCAGGATGAGCATAAGAGCTCCTGCCTCGTGCTGCCTCACAGGAGTTTACAAGTAGCAGACTAACAAACCAACAAGCAGCAAAGGTGTTGCAAAATCTGCTTCAGATTGTGAAATGCAGCTTCTCAGGTTGCTCCATTACAGCAATGAAGTATGTCAGAAAATTTGCTCCAAAAGAAAAAGAGCCGCCTTTGGGTTTTTTTGTTGTTTGTTTTTTTTAATTAAAAGCTCTAACAACCCTATATAAAGTCCATAAACTTACCTTAGTGAAAGTCAAGAATATTATTTGGACTTCCAGACAGTAATAACACTTAAAGACAATTTTAAAAGGGATTGCACAACTTTATGGATAACAACTTTATTTACTGCTAAAGACACAGCGGTCTCAATGCAGTCCCCAAATTAGAAAATAATATAATCTGAAGATTATAAAAATAATAAAGAAATTATAGGAAAGATGTGTGCTAATGTCTTTACAAACAATTCCATGGGTGAAGGTATGGGTTTTAATGTCTTTGAAATGGGTCTTAATGTCTCTAATGAGACAGAGTGAAAATCTAACAGGGTAGAAATCAATTTGGATTTAGGTGAAATGTGCCACATTGAGCTTGCTAACATAAGTAAAATATGCTGTTTAGTCTGGTAACTTTGCAACAACAGCAAAACTGCCCCAGCTGAGGAGAAAGAATGCGAATTTCCAGGCTGAAAAGATAAGAGATAAGAAAGACTCCTCGGACCTTGAAACAGACAGGGCAAAGTGACCCAGGAGTTATTTCTGTACTTTCTGACAAAAAATTGAGTACAAGTGTAACTAGCTGTAGGTGTAACGTGAAATCAGCAGAATGAATATGCATAAACCTATTGTGAAATTATATACATATATAAATTAGTAAGGGGTAATAAAAAGGATCAGGAGTCCTCAGGGGCACACATGTCCTTTGAAGGGGAACAATCCCTCACATGCGTCCAGTGCTGTAATAAACATACCGTCCCTACAAATCTTTATAGGAATTGTGGGGCTTTGATTTTTCGTCTGCGTTTCACTACCAACTTCAAGCCACAGATTTGTTACAGAACCCAGACAGTTTGGATCCTGAAACAGACAAGTGGGTCTGCACAAGCCTGAGTTTCTGAACTTTGGGGGAAAATGACAGGTTCAAGGGGAAATATGTAATAGGCAGTTCAGGAAGGCTGTACTTTCCTAGTACCTCAGCCAATGGGGAAAGGAAGAGGGCATCATGCGGCCAGGAGTTTGGGATAAAAGGAGGCTGAGTCCTCTAAAACATCAAGAGAGAAAATCCCATGGGCATGAGCCCCAGTGTACTCTCTCCCTTTATTTGAATAAAGTTGCAGGACTCCTCTATCTCCTTTATGGACACTGGCTTTTCAGAGCATGATTTTCTGCACAAGATGGGAGCTCTTGTCCAGTATTCTTCCAAAATCTGGGACCAGCACATAGCAAGAAGAGCTGGAGGAGCACCTCACCTGCTTTTTAGGTGACCAGCTCCCTTTAACATTGGCCAGCAGTGGGCAATTGATTGGGTTCCTGAGACTGTCCAGGAGACAGATGAGAGGTTGACCAGGGGGGTCCGTGAAGAGCCCAGAGGAAAGGACCGCTGGAAATCTCACTGGTGAGTACAATTGAAACTTTGGGGAGCAAAACATAGCAGGAAGACCATAAGGAGTTGTAAAGGAAAGTTGAGAATGGGTCTCGACTATAGGGATGACGATCCCAAAATACCTCCACAGGGTCCTTTGAGAGAATGTTGAGATGGTTTGCACATTCTCTCAGAGGTAGTTAATGACATGGATGCCCAGAGGCGGTGTAGGAATGTGCCCCCTGTTGGAGGAGTAAACAAGTTACCCTTTGTCTCCTTAAAAAGGAAAAAAGCCCAGAAGTTTCTTGCCTCAATTTGGTTAAAAGACACCTCATAGGATCTTGGGGACTTCATCTCAAACTTAAGGATAGTTAATTGGACAGAAGCCAAAAAGTCCCGCCTAAGCAATTCACTAGAAAAAGAACAAAATAAGTAAATCGCTTTTGTGAAGTGTTTTGGCAGGAGCAAGAACCTCTTGCCTTGGCTGGGTTTTTCTCTGTAAAGACCTTTGTTATTTTGCCTTTTATTAAAAACTTTTTGTTTCCAACACTGTCACAGGAGCCATCCTGCTACTTTTATGCCACCTGAGGTAGCTGAGCTATCTAGGGTATAATTCTTCTCTCTGAGAGCTTATGAGACCTGGCTCAAAGAGACCAAGTATTAAGGGGGCAATAAGGGGAGTCAAGAAGGGGGTCTCAGAATCAGGGGATGGATTCCCAGAGGGGGCAGTAAGGGTAGTCGAGAAGAGGTCTCAGCAAGAGGGGATGGATGGTGTTGGTTTGGGAAAGGATTGGTTGAAGGGGAGTGTGGAGGAATATGGTTAAGGCAAATAGCAGCTTCCAAGATAGGGAAGGCAGGGAGGTATTGTTCCTATACCCCCCCGCCCCCCCCCACCCCTCCCCTGGTCATTATGGAGCCAGGGTGTAGGATTTGGGTTTGTCCACTTACTACTCAAGATTTAAGGGGGTTTCTCTATGGTGAGGAGTGACGAGGCCAGGCACAGAAGTGTGGGACCAGGAGCATGGGCTGGGGGCCTGTGGGGAGGTGTGGGGCCGGGCTGAAGCTGTGGGGCAGCCGGGGCTCAGCACCGGGTGGCACCTGATGCCACCAACCCTGCCGGCAGAAGCTGTAGTGGCCCTCTGGCCAAGCTCCCTATGAGGTTGCAGGATATCTTGTCCTCCTGCCTGTCCCTGTGGCACTGCCCGCCGACTGGGACCCGGTGATTTACAGAGCTTCTGGTGCTGAGAAAGCAGACTGGGGACCTGGATGAGTGTGCTGAGGGGATGCATCTGGACACTGTGGCAGGACAGGGACTGGTTTTGGTGTACGGTGTAAGGTAGAGGGACTGTCTTTGGTGTACACCGTGTGATACAATCTGTCACCAAAGCCTGTCCTGATATAAGAATGGATTTTGTTTGGGTCACCAAGGAAGTGAGTGATTTTGCAGAGTTTGGCAGCTGTGGAAGGGTGAGAGCCCACAGGCAATGGGAGCATGGGTTTCAGAGGTGGCAGAGTGGGCCCTTGCAGGAGTTAGTTGGAAAGGCACATCAGGTATATGTAAGAAGGCATGAGGAAAAGGTAAAGGTACAGGCAAGGATAACGGCACAATTTTTAATCAATGTGTCATTTGTAAAAAAAAAAAAAAAAAAAGAGAACAATGGATTGTTAAGGGTGTCAGGATCTCCTATTGTACCGGGGGCTCACCACACTGGAGCCCTTGCTAACATGCAGGGTGGGTCTGAACCAAGAAGTGTGGAAGTGTGTTTCCTAGTAGACACGGGAGCCTCTCTGTCTACTTTGAATTTTATGCCAAAGAGGGTTCTTTTGATAATTCAGGGAGTAAGTGGGAAAGATGAGCCGGTGCTTTTTATTCAACCACTATTGGTCAACGTGTGAGATGGGTTTGAAAAGCATGAGTTTCTGTTTGTTCGTAGTTGTGGTTGTGGTTTGCTAGGAGGGTATTTGATGACTGAGTTGTGTTATAGATGGGTGGTGTGGTGATTGGCTCTCACATATGAGGACTGGATATTATGTGTGTTAAAATAAACTTTATTAAGGTTTAAAGTTCTTTTGATGTGTGACTGTTGTTGTAGGTTGTTTTAGACCCCTTTTTGTCCTCCCTTTAATCCTCTCTTCTCCCCTCTGTATTGTTGCCACCAGACAACCCTGAGTCATCAGGGTTGTCAGAGACATGTAGAAGGAGGGCGTGTACACGTGCCCCTTGCATAAGGCAGCCAGGAATGGGGGAAGCTTGTCGCTGGGGGGACTTGGCATGACACCACCTGTCGTGGTTTGACACGGAAAAAGAATTTTTCTCGGAAGGAAGAGGTCAGTTTGGATATTGACCAATTGAAGGTGGACACGCCTCTGAGAACACAGAGGGGTTAAAAGCAGAATTCCCAGGAGAACTCGCTCTCTTTGGTTCCAGTCAGCGCTCTCTTTGGTTCCAGTCAGCGTGCAGTGCAGCCTCTCCCCTGCCCGGCCATGGCTGGGTGGGGGAGGGGAAAAGCCATGTGGCCTTCGGAGGTAGGCCCAAGGGTGGAGGGACTGGAACCGGGCCTGGCCCCCTGCAGATGGAAGGGTGGAGAAATCTGGGA